GATTCACTCTTTTAAGATAATCCTACTATAATTAAACTTAGGAGATAATATAATCAATTAATCAATATTTTTTAGTAAATAAATTATTATTAACTTACTTTGCAGCAATTGCGCAAGTTGTAGTAACTTGTTTTCGCACTAAATGAATTCAAGATCATACAATACTACTTGATAAGTATACTTAAAATAAAGCAGTTTTTTAAGCTACTTATTTATATATCTACTGTTTGGTCTGGTTTGTTTGATTATAGCAAAGCATTCGACGGTTATTCGCCTAAGGGTAAGGGTGCCTCGTGGAGAACTTTCTAAGCAAAACTGACTCTTATGCACGTTACACGTGGGGAAAAACCTCGTAAACGGCAATACAGCCATCCCCGTTAAAATTATTATTTAGAAATGCACTTATAATGGTTTTTATATTTACGAAGGATACTTCCCATTTACTCAGGCTCATTGTATTCAAGTCGATAGGACCAATTGAATGGAAAGATCGATTTGTTAATACATTTCCAAGTTTCAAATCGGATGAATGGACTCGCAAAAAAAAATAAATGGCACATTAAAATACGGTCACTAAACTACAGTGAGCTATGAAAGTTTAAAAAAAAAAGTTTCGTACTTTATCTTATGAAAACAAAATATCAGAATCTAATTAAATGTTTCACTTATTAGAAAAATAGAAAATATAAATATTTGTAAAAAAAGAAATTATCTTTTAAAAAATAAAATTTAAATGAAAAAAATAAAAGAATTACAAAATATTGTAGAAATTACATAAAATAGCGAATAAACTTATTCGGCACAAGCTCGCTAAATGTAAAACAGATTGTACAGTCAGAAAGCTCGTCTTGTCACAGAAATATACTGTTCATCAGGTTTAAAGGTTATTCAGACTAACATGCGAAGTTCAGCGAGTAACATGTATTTTCCTTTGAATGTATAAACTAGCCAAAAAAAAAGGGGGGGAGCACTTGACAATTAGAGACAATTAGATGCAAATTTAACAGATGGATTGAAGGAACCCTACTACAACCTACCACTTTGTGTATGCATTTTCGTGGATTTCCTTAAGGTATGTAAATGTGAGCCCATTTTCCCTAGAAAATTCTTCATGAAATCATGCCTAGCCAACCCTCATATGTTTTGCCATATTCAACACAAAATCATTCTTAAGATTAATTAATTTTATGTTAGATGATATGAAGCTTTTCAAAAACTAGGATACTTTCCGTAAACAATTAGTATTAATAAGCGCTGTTCATCCTTATACACTTTACTGACAGTGAAGAACAGAGAACTCTAGCTCCATTGAAGATTTTATTTCTGATATACTGATACTGAATGAGACCTAAAAACACTTTTCTTTTAAAATATATCTCCCCTTAAGATCCCTGACACACCGTTTACTTTCCCCTTCCGTAATTAACGTCAGTCTCCTGCTCTTGACCGCATTTGCAAGCACACCATGGAGAGAACCTGGAACCCATTATCATCCGTGAAAGGGATGCCTACGGAAGAGACAGTGTCTGTGTTTGGGGTGGCATCTCTTTGGCTGGACGCACAGACCTCCATGTTTTTCCAAGGGGAACCGTGAATACTCATGTTTATAGACATGACATCCTTGATGCTTATGTGCACTCATATGCCGGGGCAATAGGTGATGCTTTCCTGTTACAGGATGACAATGCAAGACCACACAGGGCTCGCATTGTATATGATTATCTTTAATAGGAAACAATAATGCACACCGAGTGGCCAGCTCGATCTCCAGACTTGAATCCTATAGAGGCACGTTTGGGATGCTTTAGGGAGAACGTCTAGCTACTCTCAATCCGCCCCCTTAGACCCTTGCAACTGCTTTGCAAGAGCAATAGCTCTTGCTTCCTATGAAACTGATAGACCACATAATTGAAAGCATTACACATCACTGAATGTGCTGTATTGCTTCTAGGGCAATTTATTCCATATTGAAGTACTTTTTACTATAGCAAACTGACATCTTTGATTTGTTCATTTAATACATGTGCTAATTTCTATACTACAATAATTGTCTGGTAATTTCTTTTTATGTTATTTGATACCTTACTATGTGTTGTATTTTGTGGGTAAGTTTCATAAAATTCTACATGTAACTTTTTCAGTAATCGTGATTTTTCCTTAACTTATGATAACAGTGTACTAATGCATTTTTATATGTAATATTGTATATGCATTTTTTAAATGTAAGTTATCAACGTTACTTCCTTTTGGGAAATTTCAAGTCCATTAAAGTCTTTAAGCTGCAGTTCCAGAACCGAAAGTAACTTTAAATCGTGAATATCTGATTTCAGTTCTGCATCAATTTTGTTTGCATATGTGGTAAAGAAAGCTCTTAGACAGTTCCATTCAGTTTTCAGTTATGTTAGCTCCATTTTCAATTTATTTTAACTGTTATCGCGTCCCATTTTGGGCTCCACAAATACTATGTTACGTTTCACTACATATACAATCAATGCATATACAATTTTTTTAATTAATTTTGAAAAACAGTATACGATATTGTACTTATTTACAACAGTTTCCCATATACATAATTTTTTCCCTCCATCCCCTTAGAAAATTATTAGTTGAAGTCGCATTGTATACAGTTAGGTCCGAGTAGCTTTTGAAATCATTTAGAAACAGATGCCTATGCATATCAATAACAATGAATTGTGAGCAGGGATATATAATGTAGTAAATACTACCATAATAATCTTTTTGAATACATAAATTAACTCCTTAACGTAATATTCATAAACATAAATTGACTTTCCTCCAATGGTCTCAAAATTTCGTATTTGTTGCAAATACAGTACTTATAGTTTTAGCTTATGTGCATGACTGGTATTGAAGAAAAAAAATTGAATGAAGAGATTGGGGGGGGGGATTTATCTTTGACACTGTATACTTGTACACAAGGAAATGTGACTGAAGTAAGATGGAAGAATTTTCCACACATCCAAATTCCACAATTCCAATCAGAAAATTTAGGGTATTCTCCCAATAAGCAATCTACCTTATCTATCTGTGTAGTTACTTTACGAATCAATAGGTGGCGCCATTAAAATTGTTTAGATTAGCTGGTTTAAATATTTCAATGAATCACTCGATATTAATATAACTAAAAGTGGGACCCTAAATGCTATGGATATAGATTATATCAAGAATTTCGCACATATAGTGAATGAAACAAATAAGAAGTAAGACAAAATACACCCGATTTTGTACTGCTATATTTGTTTCAAAACCTATTTACTATAACCTTACATTTGTAGTAAGCAGAGTATTAAAAAAAGATAACGAATTTAAAAGAAACAAATTAAACAAGAAATTAATTTCTTAATGCACCAATAAATATTCAGAATGTGGCCATTTTTGTATTCTTTATATTTAATATTCTTTAATATAATCTCTTTAGCTATTCAACTGTATTCTTAAAAAATGCTTGAATGTATTTTAGGTCCACGGAATTTGGTGTATCCAAGTTTAACTATGCAGAATGCATTAAGAGGTTAAATAGTAAAATCCCCTTCATATAAAAATACTAAGAAAAATTAAATATCTTTAAGCTGACACTTTTAATGTATGAATATTTTACATTTAAAAAGCATTTTCATAACCACATTCCACATGTTTTTTACAGTAGATCTGTTATGTTTATATTTAATAAGAATAACTAAGGTTGTAACAAAACAGCTTACACAGAAAGCATTTTTGTTTGAAATCTCATTCAATTTAAATTAGTAAAATTGTAAAGTGAACTGTAGTTCTATAACATATATTAGATGATGCAGTTTATCATATCATGGAAAGAATAAAGGGGGCAATTGATCAGGCCTTTTGTGCTTTGAGTCAGCAGCAAAAAATATTTTTTTAACCATCAATGAAGAAAAAACTAAATTCATGACAGTTACAAACAAAAGACATAACCTATATTGCTGAACTGATGATATTGCTGAAAATAATGATTATATTTTCTAGGAAGTTACACAATTTAAATATTTATATACATTTGTAAATAATAATAACTTTATAATTATTGAAATCAAGAACCAAATCAACATAGCGAACAGATGATATTATGGATATCAAAGCCAGTTAAATCAAAATACCTAAGCAGTAAAACTAAAATACAGTTGTACAAAATCTTAGTCCTATTAGTGTTGTATGGAAGTGAGTTTTGGATAATGAGTATAGCAGATGAGGATGGAGTAGCGACATCCGGGCAAAGGATTTTGAAAAGAATATTTAGAGCAGTAAGGGAAAATGAAGTGTGGGGCATAAGATATAATTTTAAACTACAGCAAAAAATTTAGAGAACCAAATATTATGAAAGTTATTAAAGTCTCTCAATTAAGATGGCTAGGCCATATATACAGATGAAAACCCAGTGAAGAAATTGACATTCCAAAAGTCAGAGGGAAAGAGAAGGAGAGGAAGGCCACGGATGAGGCAGCTAGGCAATGTGGAAAAGTGGTTAAAGGACATTGGTGTCAATAGGTGGAGGGCTGTGACATCAGATGGGTTTAGATAGTGAGAGCTGACTGAGATAGACTTGGCTGGAAATCGGCTGTAGAGTGAAAAAGAAGATTTATCATATAGAATGAAATGACAAAAAAAAAAAAAATTAGAATACTTAGCAAAAGAAGCAAACCTTTCGATTATTAAAGGTTGCACAATACTGCCAATAACTTTCATTATTTTTGTTTTTTATACCTTACATATTTTCATTTACAATGATATGTACTTTAGAATATGAAGTAAAACATTTAAATTGTGTTATTTTGCCTGAAAGCACATAATTTAATTCAAGTTCATATCTCTGCTTTAAGAACTAAATGCGACAATTTTATATCTTTAAGAACTAAATGCATAATGATTGATTATTTGAGGTATCCTATATGTTACTGTCAAAACTGTTTTTATCAATATTCAGTTAGAATTGTCTATGTTGCTTAAAGATTAATAAATTTTTGCAGTTATTAAATTTGAACAGTTTATTAAAATACTGTAAATTACAAATCCATTACTACATGATTCTGTAAAACACAGCATACAAGGACAAATAAAAAAAAATATATGCAGTATAAAATTATTTACAAGTGCTTTTTATAAAGCTATCAAAATTGTCATGGTAGCAAAATTTAATTTCATATTTCAAATTTTATTATCACTCAGTTTTTTTTTTTTTTTTTTTTTCATGATAATTACTGACACCTAAGAAATTAAAATTTTTGTTGGAAGCCCATGCAATTCTTTATACTTGTTTAAAAACAATGTCATTCTTTTCTCTAAAATACAATTTTATATCTTTAAGATATGCATAAAAGTTACATAATTATAATATGCTGGCTCACTAAGAAAATAATTTAAATACAAGAGTACATCTTACACATTTCTAGAATATTATTCAAAGACCTCTTTAAGTTGTCTAAAATGCATTTTATATTATTTAATGTGTCAAAATATTTTAAAATATTGATTACACTAATAAATACAGCAATATGTAAATATATTACAAAATAAAAATTACAACATGTACATAAATCATATATTCTGCTATTCTCAGTTCTACCACATGGGATAACAATGAAAGTTCAATATTTACAATAAAAGATTAAGATTTGGATTAACATCTTATTCATTTTCTTAGTTCAGATTCATCTATTATGAAAAGCGCTGGAATAAGCAAGATTGCTACATAATTGATAAATATCTTTATTTTGATATGTGTACAGTTAGTTGCCCAAAATAAGTGAGGACTTCCTCCTCGTCATTTGCAGAAAATTAAGTAAAAAGAACTAAGTAACCTAAGTTGGTTTTCAAACTGTGTGATAAGTGTTAAATGCTTTTTATAAAATTTGATACTTCATCTCATTCAATTTAGAGATTCAGATCAGAGTATGAAAGGGACTGATTTTTCATCACTAGTCTAAGTTAAGTAAATCTGAATCTTTTAACTACAGTTATGGTAAAAAATATTAAATATTATAAATCTTAACTAAAGTATTAAATAAATATTGTTTTCAACTGTAAGATATATTATTTGCTTTCTCAGACAAAATTATCCACCGGAACATTTCTTTTCCCCTTAATCACTACAAATGAGATATGTTTATATTTTGCCATTCACAATAATTTACAACAAAACAACACAATGAAATACAACACATAATAAATACATGGCATTTAAAATTCATTCTAATTGTGAAGTGATTGTAACACAGAAAGTCAAAGGCAGATTCTCAATACACATAGCTGTAATCATGTACGCTAAATGCATGTTAATCTACTGTTCTGCATGAAAAAAATATTCAATTGTCAATGAAAAGGTGCAGAATAATGTTTATTATTTTCTGTACATGCACCTGACTGTTTATTCTCTCAAATGATAAACAATGAATTATATAAAAATGACTAATGATAATGGGCACAAGCAGAATAATCTTTTAAATAAATACTGCTTCTGGACCCAAATGAGACTGTTGCACTTGCTGCTGTGTTTGAGATTTCTGTTGTTCACTCACAGGCACTGGATGATGCATGTTCGTAGGCCCCATGGGGCTCGAAATTCCTTCTGACCAATCAGACTGGGCAGAATGGGGTGAAGAACTTGACCACTGACCCGGTGATTCAGGAGATGGTGTCAAGTAAGTTTCAGGACCTAGAAGGTAGTGCTGAGGTGTTGCCTCAGACTGACTGTGTTGTGATGGAGGTGTTGGATAATGGTACGGTTGAGAATATGACATAGACATATTGTTGGAAGAGTTCGCTACAGATGTCTTTGGTGCGGTGAGCATTTGATGAAGATCAGTCATTGGGGGATAATCATAAGTATTGTTGGCACTGGAATGAGATTGCATCTGTGCCGTTTTCTGATGATGTGCTGCCCGCATTGCAGCCATATGAGTTGGAGATGTTGGAAGTGAAGGTCTCTGCTTGGTAAGAGAAGACATAGTATAAGAATGTGAGGTAGGTACAGTGATGTTCTGAGGCATACTACTTGGCATTGAATTTTGTCTTGGATGATTAGGCTTCATATTCTGCTGTTGTGATGACTGGTTAGTCACCATACCATTATTTCCATAAACATGGTTTCCGAGTCCTATATTAAGGACATCCATACCCATTACACCATAGATTTGATGAGCAGCATTGATGCAGTCTTCATAAGATGGTGGCTGTTTGCTTGTTAAAGTGCAGTTTCCATCCACACTCATTAGATTAGGATGGGACATTCCCATATTATGTCCATTATATAAAGACTCCAAAGGTGATGAAGTACCTTCTAGGTAGCTAATTGTACGTGGAGATTCTAGTGAATTAACTGGAGAAAGAGTTACAGAACCATCAATGCCTTGGATAAGCATTGGTGGTGGCTCTTTCCGTTTTTTAACAGATGATTTTCGTCGAACACTCACATCGGAGCACAGCGTGTCCCCATCTTTTGTGGGAAGACCTGCAATGGTATTTAGCTTCGGTCTTTTCTTTGGTTTCACTGATTTTGTAGATCCAATCATGCCACCAGATTGCATAAGTCCTGGTGAACCCATAGGACCATTAGATGACACATTCATTTGAGGACTTGGTGGTATGTACTCATCAAGCAACCTTACTATGTCATGATGCATACGCTCATAAGCAACATCTCTTGGTAATCGGTCCATATGGTCAGTTATATCTCTGTTTGCAAAATGTTCAAGGAGTATTTTTGCAGCAGCATAGCTTCCTTCTCTTGCAGCTAAGAAAAGAGGAGTTTCTTCTTTAACATCTTGAGCATCTCTGTTAGCTCCATGTGCAAGTAAAACTTGGACAGCCTCGACATTATTTACAGCAGCTGCCCAATGTAAAGCAGTTTTCCCTTAAAAAAAAATTAAAACTTGTATTAAAATTTTGGGAAGAAAAAGAACATTTGAGAGTTTTAGTGAATACAAGAGCTTTTAAAACTTCTATAAATTTTAAAATTCTGAGATAACAAAAGAGGGGGTAGAGCTGTAGATTATATTATTTTGTAAGTCTTGGCAATTTCTTGTATATTTCTTGGGTTTTTATAATGTGCCAATCAAGGTTCTGGCATGAAATAATGGCAACTCAAGAATTGGTTTAACAAGGAGAAAAAGAGAGTTGGGACTAAGGTGTTTTGATAAACAGAGTACCTTGGTAGTAAAATTACAATTACCTCCACATTTTAGAAATGTAAAAAAATTGAGAGAATCAAGAGAAAGCATTTGCTAAAGGTGATGAAAGCACACCATTATGGGTTTAATAGAAAAAGGTCACTGAGGTGTCCATCCAATCAGACTAGAGAACTGACACCTTGCTGTATGCTACATAGGAGTAAAGTGTACTCTGCAGTCGACATGCAACCAGAGTCCAAAAGGTGGGTGAGGCACATGCAACGTAGAAGCCTAAGAGAAAGATCATTGGCTAAGGAGCCGAGAAGGAGAAAAACGAAACATAAAAATGTTAGGGGGACGTGCAAGAAAAAGCCAGTTCATTAATCAAATGCAGTAATGAAAATTTTATTTAACAGGAGAATGATTATGAGGGGATTATGAAAGATTTATTTGTTGTTTTTTAAAAGATAATAATTAAACAATTCCAACATAATATCCAAAACATAAATTACAAAACTGAAACATATTATTAGCTTATAGAAGTAGTTAAAAAAGTAAAAATACAATTTCAAACAATATATAATACAAAATTATTAAATAGTAGGCCCTATTAATGAGATCCTTGTAGCTGGTGCTTTAATATTAGCTTACTAATATCTGATTTGATATATTAATAACGTATTTACTTTTAAATATTTATTCTATTTATGTCTTATTCCCTTCATGATTGCAGTACTGCTGCTAGTATTAAATGGATGTGTTAGAAGGATCAGTGTATTCTTTAGGAAATATTGTTGAGTACTTGCCAGCTGTGTGCACATTTCTTTAGCTTTATCTGTACTTCAGGGGGAGCATGTTCAAAAACCCACAGGTAATTTTAGCATTTACTATTTGTGCAGTTATCTTCAACAATAAACCTCAAAGATTAAATATTAAAAAGGAAATTGTAAAATAAAAATTTTAAAATATTGAAATTAAAAAAAGTGATTGAAAATTAATTAATTTTTATTTTTTGGAGAGGGCTCAACTGAACCATTGCTCACCCCAGAATCCAGCACTGCTTTTAGGTAGCCCACTAGTTCAAACAAAAAGTTACAACACAATGACACTGATTACTAATTGTAGAATAAAACTAACTGACTGGCTATATCTAGATTAGTTGGTACTTAAATAATAATTTGTTCTTTGAGAATTTTCTATGTTAAGAATTTTTTTCATTAACTAAAAATGTTCCAGAAAATATGCAAATTCTTCTAACCACGAATTTCTGGACTTTTCTATTATTATTATTATTAAATTAGTTTATAAATTATATTTTATCATGAGTGCCTTAGCTCATATTAAGGATTCCCCAAATAGAAATTTTTCTGGACGTTCTTTAAGCTTCTAACACTCTTGGAGGGCCCTATGTTGAGCTCGGTTGGGAAATGCTGAGTTAAACCAACATTTATCAAGGTAGTCTAGGAAACTAATTTTAAAATTGCATAATTTCATCTTATTGCCTGAAAATTTGACTGCTTATAATATAAGTTATTCAACTGCATTTTTTGTGTGGCTGTGGATTTTAAGTGCGCTACTATGTTATCCAAATTATTCTGTATTAAACATTTTATATAATTTAATTATTTATTAAATATTTTATATAATTTACTAAAACAATTTATAGTAAAATAGAACTGAAGTTAATTATGTCAATAATTTCATCTTACCATGGTCATCTGCAGCATTAATATCTGCTTCAGCATTTATAAGAATCTCAACCATTCCTTCTATAGCAAGTCTTGCTGCTAGAACTAGAGGAGTTGTGCCATCATGCATTCTGGCGTTGAGATTTGTAGCCCGATTACGTAGAAGTATCTGAATTAAAAAAAAAAAAAAAAAAAAAGAGTATATAAAATTGAACAAACAGTATATAAAATTGAAAAAATTAATAAGTGGTTCAAAAGACCTGCTTAAATAAATGCATGAAATATACCTGGAAGACACCTTGGGCATCAGCAGCTACTGCAGCATGAAGTGGAGTACGCCCTGTATTATCTTGGGCATTCGCATCAGCGCCAGCATCTAGAAGTCGCTTTGCTGCGTCAGCCCTGGCATAACGAGCAGCTAAATGTAAGGAAGTTTCACCTACAAAACAAACAATGAATTATTCTAAATCTAACATATGAAATAATTAAAACAATATATGCTTAAAATAAATTATATAAGTATCATACCAGTGCGCTCTGTTGTCATATTAATTTGAGCACCTTGCATGAGTAGGTCTTGTATCATACTGACTGAACCATCGTCATCTTCCACTTCATCACCAATGTCAAATCCTCCACTTCTGAAGGATGCCAACATCAATGGTGTTAGTCCACCTGTGGCACAAAAAAAGTGCTCAGTTCATATTATCTCTTTAATAATTTTAATGCTTTTTTTGCCCACTTTCAGCATGATTGAATGTTAATGTAAAAACACAAATTTACATCTTACAATAAGTTATTAAATAATCTGAAATAAACGTGAAATGTCATTATAAATTATGTGTCGATTTATTACAATTGTAATTTCTAAAATCTCACCTAAATTATTTAATACAAGAATGATCAAATAACATTCTGTAGCAGTTCAAGTAATTCCTTATTCACCTAATTACATTATTTTACTGATATAAAACTTTGATCCTTTTCAGTGAACTGCTAATTTTCCTGTTACATATTTATTTTTCTTCCTTTAAATATAATACAATATTCCCAATAAAATAATTTACTTTCATTGACTTCTACTCTTTCTGCAGCATGCAATAAGGCTTTCAATTACTAAAACAGAGGTTCAGTAGTTATAGTTGAATCCACTAGAAACGAATTGCTAAACACAAGCTAAACAGTGCCTTAATGTTCATAAGCAATAAATGTTTCTTCTTAATATGGAGTTTTCCTTCTTTTAGTTAATAAACATATCTGAATTATCTTTTGTAGATTTCAGAGAGTATTTCCAACCTTAAATTATTGCACTACTCATAAACAGCCAGTAGATTATTGTTCAAATACCGTTTGATAAGCTATATTCACACAAACTAAAGGAGAAGGGTCTAGTTATAGAAGAAGCCAATTATTTTAATATATAATATGGTATCAGTTCTTAAAAATCTACTCATAAAGAATTGTATTTAAATAGCATATATTAGTTAGATTTATATAATTAATTACTTTACCCTTTTTGATTCATAATCTTCAATTTATTAAAATAACATTTAGATTATTAGAAGAAATATGAAAACAAAATATTTCAAACAAGATGATAACAAGACATTTAGTGACAACAAATCTCATAAGTGGATAAAAGCACTGAGCCACTCAGAGAAGATAATTCACAGACAGTTCCTTAAAGCCCTGAATCATTAAAGTGAGAGATAACTGCCCTACCATTTAGTTAATTTCCTTGATAATGGACAAGAGATTTTGCCTACCTAATGCCCCTTAATGGGAAATTTGACTGTATATATAATTATATCTTCATATCAATGAAATTTTCTTAATAAATCACTTCTGCTATTATCCAAGATATTTCAATCACTTACCAGGCCCTCTGACATCAACATCTACACCATTGGGATCCATATCATTATCACCTTGAGGAGGAGTAAGAGCCAGAATATCTGGATTTCTAATATCAGCAGCATCCAGATGTTGTTGAGTCCATGGTCTTGGGTCATTATCATCATAATCATCAGTTGTCATAACAGTGTGAGTATCCCCATAACTTGGATTTGGGGATCGATCATTCTTCATACGCTTCATTGGTGGGTGGTCCATATCATCATCACTCCACTGACTTCCATCATGTGGCATAGATCCATTGTCCATAACTTCCATGTGGTTAATTGAACACTGTTTATGCAAATTCCTTTAAAAATATGCAAAATATTAAACCCACATAAAAATTAAGGAATAAGTTAATTTGTAAAATACATTAAGCTTATTAAGTTTAAAAAAAAAACACAAGGAATAAATCTAAAATTGAAGGATTTGAAAATCATATTAATTGAACTGTTTTATTGAATGCTTTAATATATTTATAAATTATTACACAAATTTCTTCATTATTTTCTTTAATTTTGGGTTAATTTGTTCGTTATATTCAATAAAAACAAAACAAAATATTTTATTTAAGGGTTAATACCAAATACTTTTGATCAAGGTCTTCTTTTGCTCAGTTATTATATTATTTATATTTATGCAACCCGTATTTAAAATGCTCACCTCATCTCTTGACCATCAGGTCCACGTCGCCTAGATCTTCTATGTTGACCACTGTGAAATCCTTCAGGAAACCATGTTATACCTCTTGCTCTTTTACGCTGTGCATTAATTAAGACACCAAATGCTATGCCACCAATCAGAACTACTATGGCTCCTATAATTAAATACAAGTGCCTCGTATATGTTGTTTCTGCAGTTCCTTTTTCATCATAATCTGATTCCTGGATCTGGCTGATTGGGAATGCAGTAGATAATGCATGACGGGAAATAATAGCAGCCAAAAACTGTGCAGCCTGTTTATAAATTCAAATAAAATATAGATAAGAATTACATGCAAATAAATGGATAAGAAATTAAAATCATTTGGTTATCTACAGTCAAAATTTTTTTTAAAAAATTAATGATTAGAATACCTTGTTGGCACTATCAAAACATTCTCCATACAGTAGCTTTGAACAGCGTCTATTATCTATTTCCAAATGCACTTCAGTCCTGAAATTAAAATTATCGTTTTAAGTATAGGTAAATTAAATTATTATTATTATTAAATCTAAGAAAATCCTTTCTGGGAATCTAAATGCAAACTAAGAATGTTTTTAATAATATAATTGAAAATAAGAAAACGTTCTAGTTGTTATGTATCTGGTAAGTCACACTAATATACAACCCCCTTAAAGAAAATAAAAAGGTTAAACATTGCTGCATCAAATAAAAGCCCTCTACTACGAGCTACGAACATTAAGTGATCTTAACCAATCAATCACAAATGGGACAACTGAAATCAAGAAAACTTCTTAGAATATCTAGAATATTATGTGCAAAATAACTGTACAATAGATTATTTGCTGAGTGAATTTTGCCATGGTTTAATGTCTAAAATAACAAATGTGAGAGCTTTATAGAAGGCTGTGAAGAAAAGTAACAAAAACAAATGTATAAAATATAGATAAAAAATTTTTAGTCACAAAAAGTTAAAGATAATAAGTTATCAGAACTCATTTTACTTTGTTTGACTGAAATTTGGATTTCATGCAAAAACTGAGAAGTGTCAAAGCCAGCTCTGAGTTTAAGCACCAAAGTCTTTATGAATACTGATCATTAAATATTTAAAACTAAATTGAAAAATCTAACTAATGTAGATCTGTTACAGTGTACAAAAACAATGTATACTTATATTATACCTGTTCATATGAATCACATTTACAAGAATTTTCTCCCCATTAAATCAATATACTGTTTATAAATACATAAAGAGACAGAAATAGCATAGTGGTTTAATGGGAAAGGGAATGCTATACATGTAATCACCATATAGCATCATAAATGCAAGTTCCTTAAAAACTACATCGTGGTTGTTTAAAATATAATACTAACCCAGTGCTCCTATAATGCTTTGTCATAGGTGAATCTTTTTCTGGTGACTTCCAGGGATAAACCATCGGACGATAGTTTTCATCCATTTTAAGTCGGAGATTAGTTCTTAGTGCATGGCCCATTTCTCTTAGAAATGATACACTGTTGTTCAAGAATACCTATAAAAGAGTTAATTCATTACAGCCTTGCGATTTTAACATTTATCTTGCATTACACAAATTTATGAGAAGTTATATATATACATATTTTTAACATTTAAATTCAAAGCATTATGCAAATTCATGAGAAGTTATATATATTAACATTTAAATTCAAAACATTACTGAATAATTACACAGAATTTTCATCTGTATAAATGAATGCAGGGTTAATCCAATAATGGCCCTACAAATTGTAATTAATTAATCAAAAATAAACTCTATATAAGCTTTAATTGAATAGTGTAAAATGCAATTTAAATAATAACAAAACTTGTTTAGATAAATAATGAAATTTAATGAAAAGACAGATTTTTGGGTTTGTTTTTTCTGAAAAAAGTAGCCTATACCATCCATATAATCTAACGACTGCCTACACATTTTACAGCCTTGCTGTGGTCACCCTTACTATTTTATCTTAATTATTTTCTTTTTACTGGCTCATCTTAAATCAATCAGCTGGTGCCAGTGAAAAGAGGATACTGAAGATGTAAATGATGGATTATGTCACTGGATCAAAAACATACTGGTAAGATAAAATTGTGTATCTTTACATTGTTCTTATCTTCCTTTGTCTACAATTTCGCATTTCCCCCTTGTACTTTCTAATCATTGAAAATCAGAAATGGATGATTTAGGGGGAAAATAATTTCAATGTATGATTTAGGGGAGGGCCACAGAGTTAGCTAATCACAAGGACTCGCAAGAAGGCATGTAAAATTAACTAGAGTCCTACTAAAAATCGTACAAGACGTTAGAGGGGGGAGAGATAAACTCAGCATTTTTCTTCTACTTTGTTCATGACTTACATATTCATTAATATTTTATTGAATTAAATAAGGCAATTATTATTAGTATTAGAATTAGCTGTAAATAAATCTCCAGCATCTATCAATATTCACCACATTCTTTCCTTTTTAGTTTCATAGTTGCATTATCTATGTAATGTTGGAAGACTACAGATAATAAGGGATTAATTTTCTTTTCTGAGCTAATATATAATAATTTCATAAAAAATATATTTTTTAATTAAAAAATTAAAATCTATTTTAAAAAAGCATAATAAATACATAAAAAAATTTAATACCTCAGGTTCCATTGAAAGAATTAAAATAAATGAACCAGCAGCTAAAACTGGAGGATTAGGCTCACAATCTAAGCCATCCCAATTACATTCCTCGTTGTTGCATCCATTATCACAAAGGCCATTCCCATAATTTCTCAAACAGTAAGTATCATAGTGTTCACTGAAAGAATATTATAAATCATTAGCAAGATGGTAACTAAAATATAAAATGGGTAACGTTATTTATACATATTTCATAAGATAATGATAATAATACTTACTTGCAAGGCATTAACATCTGGTCACAATCAAACCCATCATAGAGACAATCCATGTTGTTACACTCTATATCACATATTTTATTTTTAAAGACACTTGAGCATTTTATCCCTGCTTTGCAATTTTTCCATGGATTTATACCTAATTAAAAAAAAAAATTATGAATATTTTATCTATAAACATAATTATTCATTGTAAATTTAAGTGAACTTTATTTGTAATATCTACATGTATTAGATCAGATTTAAAACTACTGCTTTAATTTTTAGAATGGATTATTAATATTTATTGATATAAACAATTGAAGAAACTGCAATAATTAAGTATTATTTTATCATTGAAATGTAGAAAATGACATTAAGAATATTTCATTTAAATTATAACTGCATAAATATAACAAACATGATTATGACTGACTGCTATTTCTAGCACATTTGAACAAAAAATGAGGGGGGGATTATTTAAAATTTAAAAAAAAAAGTAGTAAATCTTATACTATATTACAGTGAAAATATTACAATATAATATAATTAAATAATATTACAATGAAACACAAAGTGTTACAAGCAGACTGCATCTTAATCTTACTTGCACACATTTTGTCCATGTTTTTAATATTTAAGGGTCAATACCAATTCATTAAAACATTATAAAGTACTTTGACTTCTAACATGTGCATATTACAATGGCTTATCAAATGCCATTATGAATAACTTCATTTCATTATTTATAATTTATTAATAATAATTCACATTTATTAAGGAAAAATATTACTTCATTATTTAAAAATTATCAATTACTTGGATTCAAGATAAGATAAATAAGGAAAAAATAAGAGGAAAATATAATATTAATTATTCCATTATTAATAAATTTAACTATTTAAATTCAATGTTAAATAAATTTGTTACAGATTAAATATTTGTTTTATTTAATCTGCATTTCAAGTTATTTAAAACTAACAATGTTAGTTCAAATTATATTTCTTAGAAATTATTATATAACATAATATTTACTTATGATTACAATTTTTTTTTTATTTCCTGTATTTACCACAGACTGACAGTTTCTACTAAAATAAATAAAAGTAATCTTTAAAAAATAAAAAGTGAAAAGAAAAAAGGAAACTTTTATACTGAATTTCAAATTGTTACAAATGTTATATTTTTCAATTCAGAATTCTTTTCTTATTTAACAATATTAGTAAAATTTCATTATTATATTTTTAATAACTATAAGATAAATAATTTCTAAAATAGACAAAAATAAGAATTTAGATCTATATATTAAACCAGTTTCTTCTTTGGAACATACCTAATGAACAATCACCACCATCAAAATTGCAAGCGAAGCTATTGCATTCTTCATTACATACAGTATTTCTTGCTTTCAGTTCACAAGAATTGGCTATGCATATTTTCTTTTCTTCCTCGAGAGACTGTTTAGGAGGATCCTCTGGTGGTATAACATTTACAATTCCACCTCCAAAGGAAGAATCATAAATATCACATCGTAAACCATTCCATTCAGGAGGACAGTCACATTCAAATTTTCCTGCAATTAAATACAGCAAAGAATAACATTAAATTCTACACACATCTAAAAAAAAAAAAAAAAAAAAAAGATCTAGCCATTTAGGCCAATCTAATCTGTATTTATAAATTCCCATAAACAGATATATAATCTAATACAGTAAAAATGAAGGAAAAATAAAAAGCTTCAAAAATGTGAAATAAGCATGTATTGTTTGGTAAAGCCTTTATGAATTGTTAAATGTATAAAAGATAGAAAGGGTAAATTCATGACACAATAAAACAATTATGAGATTTATTTTAGTGAAAAGATAGTGTTTTATTCATGAACTCAGTTCCACACCATAATTTTAACAGGAGGGATATTTCAAAGGCTTTAATGTCATTTAAGGATATTGCAAAACAAAAACAAAAATCTACACAACAGAAATATAAAACAACATAAATATGAAGCATATACAAATTGCTGTAGTGATTAAAATTTTTCATTTATCACTGAACTTTTTTTTATAAAACCCATTGTCACAAAAGAATTTACTCTGATATAATAAAAAATTTTGCTGTCTCTAAAAATTTCTCATTTGTGCCCAGCTATCACTTGGCAGTCCTCTTATCAACTTGTGAGATATTATCTGAATAAGACAATTTCACTTCAGATTTATTTTTATAAGATGATCCAATCTCAATGCTACCTTGCTTTCTGAACAATATACCTTTAATTTCTCATGGGAGATACATCAAAATGAATCAAAGTATTGCAATGAAAAACATTAAAAATTTAAAACATGAATAAATCAGTCCAAGCAGTCTGTTTCATAACAATCAGCCATGACACACAGACTCGTACTGAAACTGAATACCAGTTAAGAATTGCTTCTACAAGTAAAAGGTTCCACTCTGAAGTTTGGTAATGATATGCTAAACTTTCACTCCTGTAACAATACTTGTAAACATATCGCTTATTTTTTTCCATTATTAATTTTTTTAGTATATCCAAGGCTTCTGGTAATTCACAGAAAGTCATATAGTGAATCGCATAGCTTGCAACTAGTTTTGGTTTAATAGCATAACATTATAGTTGGTTAAAATAGTGATATCCTACCAATTCGATCAATACAATCTCCACCATGAAGACAAGGTGACGACAGACACTCATCCACAAGATCTTTTTCACAGCGAGGACCACCTACGCCTTCAGGACAAATACAGTAATACCCATGATGTTTTGGTTTACACTGGCCACCATTCTTACATGGATAGCTTGCACATGTAGTATTAGTCATTGCACAGGTCTCACCCCAAAATCCCTAGAAAATAACAGGCACTATTAGTGATGCAGTATGAAAAACATTATAACTAATTTAACATACATAATGAAACTGCTAATAAAGATTAACAGCAATGTTGCTAAAACATAATTTTATGAATTTAGAAAGGATGTGAAGGTACATAATTTCACATTTGCTTTATGATGCATTTTGAATTCAGAAAAATATTTGCTGTGTCAAATTATACTCAAGTATATGATATTTTTTAACACAAATTTGTAATACCTTCACCAAATCAGAAAATAATTTTTTACTCACTTCAGGACAAATACACATAGCTGATCCATTTGGTCTGTTACTGCATATTCCGCCATTCATACAAGGATTAGTAGCACAAATATTCACTTTAATTTCACAGTGTCTTCCCATATAGCCAGGTTTGCAATTACAACGGTAATCATTCACTAATTGCACACAATCCTGTGTTCCTGGTCGTTTACATGGATCTGATAAGCATTCGTTTACATCTCCTTCACATCTGAAAAATAAATTATAGCACCAAAATTAATTATAATCTGTCCATGTAAATTATATTTATTACGCCATGTAAATTATACTTATTCTATACCTAACAAATAAACTTCAGAATATCTACTGGTAATTAAATAGCATATTTTGTGAAAAGATTTTAAATTTGTAAACAATCATAATTTTATCTGAAGGAAAAAGAAGAAGCATTTATGCTGGATTAGTACCTCAATTCATAAAGAAGAATGTACCATTATTATTATATATATATATCGATTTTATTTTAATGTCAATTCTCCCCCCCCCCACCCAAGAAGACATTGCAGTGATAATATTGAGTCATAATTGCGTTACATTTACAATTACATATAGGAATTTAGTTATATAGGAAGAATTTAAATTAATATATTTATATTATAATTCTTGTTATTTATCTGATTTATTCACAATTAAAATGTTATATAAAATTAGATTTTCCTTTATTTATTTATCCCCCCAGATTCAATTTTTAACCTATGAATAATTTTTTAATACAAATCAGGTAGCCAAAGAAGGAAATTAAAGTTGTATTTTGATTTCATGATTTTTTGCTACTTTTTAATTAACTTAGAAAACTGTTATAATAAATAAGGAAAGAACTCCTAGAACAAAATAAATAGTAGTAACATTATTAAAGTTACTTTGATTTCACTTATTTCATTATGGTTTATCAAATAATTATTAAATTTAAACAAAGTAAATCAAACTTTCTTTAGTGTTTTAACACAAAAATAAACTTCAGAGATAAATGAAGAAATAACAAAGAAATCTTTTAAATTATTTACTTGCTCCCTGTACTATAAAATAATAATTATATAAAGTATAACATAATTTAAAAAATTTCTGTATATAAGAATTACAATATATTCATTCAAATATAGAAGAGAAAATTATAAATTACCTAGAGCCAACATATCCAGGTTGACATTGGCATTCATAACCACCAATTTTGTCGATACAGCTCCCATCATGATGGCATGCGCCTTCAAAACATTCGTTCACATTAATTTCACATAAAATACCAATGGTACCATGGGGGCAAGAGCACACAAACTTATTGATGAGATCATGACATGTTCCACCATGACGACAAGGATTTGGATCACAGTCATTTATGTTGAATTCACAATTTAAACCTAAAGAATAAAATTTTGCTTAATACTTTTATATTAAATATAACCTTGTATTTAAAATTTAAACTCAAATCCACTAGATGTTGAAAAACTTATACGATTAATATACAGCAAATTCAAATTGCAAACATGCATTTCCATACATAACAACTCAAAATAAAATTTATAAAATTATTTGAATAAGTTTCTACAATGCAGAAATAACAGGACATGACTTTTTATTTTCAATATCAATTATAAAAATTATAAAATTAAATAAAATCTAGAATGTTTAAAACTGCTTTATATATAAATATTACCTTGGAAACCAGGAGGACAATCACAAGAATATTGACCAATTTGATCATTACATGTTGCACCATTCTGACACGGTTGAGAGCTACATTCATTTACCTCATGCTGACAGTAACTTCCATCATATCCATTGCCACAAATGCAGCGATGACTATTTCCTATGTTTTCACATGTACCTCCATTTTTGCACAAATCTTTAACTTCAATTCCTATAATGAAAATGACATTTCTATTAATCATACAATTAAATTATGGCATAGTCTTGAAGCAATTAAAGATATATTAACTTAAGAAAGGTTCAATAATTTAAAATGAATCCAACCAAAAAAAAAATTCATTCAGTGTCAGACTATTAAAATTAACTCATGAAGAGAGTCAATAATATGTTTTTAAAAATTAATTGAAGAACCTTCAATATATTTTATAAAAATAGTTTTTAATTATTCTTAAATGTAACATTCATTTATTCATTTACATTAAATTACAATTCCCCTTTTAAATTTTATATGCATTTTTAAATATGTTTTTAATTAATGATGTCTGAACATTCAAATGCAGTAACTGATAAATTTTCTGATTGACAGCTAATTTGCAGCAGGTACATTAAAATATTAATGCATTTCTCTTTTCTATTAACAGCCAAAAATCCAAATTAGCTTCAAAATCAATTTTGAAAAAATACATGTGAAAATACCTTTTTGAGCAGCAGCATCTGAGCATGATACCATTGAAACATCACACAGCTTACCAGTCCACCCAGGTTGACAAGTGCAGCCATAAGTATTGTTTAACTGCATGCATGTAGCTCCATTCATACATGGGTTTGTACTACACCAGTCAACAAATGTCTAGAAAAATAATTTATTTTGTACTGCATTATTTATATTATTCTAACAAATATTATTTTTAAGATGATTCCACCAGGTCATTTATAAAAACAAATAAAATAAATAAATAATTATACTATAAAAAAGAAAATATTTGTTTTTAAGTATTTTATTATATCATAATATAAGTTTAATGAATTTCAAAATTTAAATGAATTCAAAACTAAATAAACAAAAGGTTCTAAGTCTAATCCTAGTTAAATTGTTGTTGAAACCCTTATTAAGGAAACCAATTTCATATTATTTCTAATTTCAGACTGAGTGAAAAATAGTTGGTTTGTTAACATAAATGCAAAACAGCTTGAGATCTATCTGCATAGGGAAAAGAATGCATTTTCGGAAGGCATTTTAAAAGAAACTGGCCCATATTCATGTTACATATGAGGGGAAAATGACATAGCCAATGCAGCTAGTTAGCCCACCTTCCTGGATTTGAACCTAAATTTCGCAATCACAATCACTCAGCCACTGATGGGCAGATATAAAAAGATTTCTTTCAGTTAAAATAAATTCTATTACATATTACTCTTAAAATCGTGCAAATGTAATAACAACTTTCAAAATAATTTTGCCATTATCTAAATTAAATAATAGCAATAATTCATTAGAAGTAGATAATAGTAGAACAATCATAGAATTTCATCAATTAACTGATTAAATTTTGGGAAATTATTCATTTCAAGGAATGCACACATTTGTTTCTTAAAATACATATAGACTTTGATATAAGACTAAAAGAATTATATATTATGATTTGAGAATTACTCAATATCTTAAGTAATCACTTAATATCCTAATTAGAACATTGACTAGCCAATGGAACACTTTAGCCTTAATTTCAAATTATAGCTAGAAGGTTATGTATTAAAACTTAAGAAAGATAAAGCCATTTTTTTAGACTTCATCCATTAGTTTAAAATGCAATGGCTGAGAGATTAAAAAACAAACTGAGTTTTACCGTATACCGATATTCAATTTTAAGTACATCCTCCCATATTCTAAAGACAGCAATTACTTCACTGAATCATCATCAATTGGATCCTATTATGTTAATTATAAAACTTTATAACTTAAACAAATTTAATATAGCTTACATCACAGTGTAATCCAGTATAACCAAATGGGCAGTGGCAAGTATAATAGCCAACATGATCGATACATGTTCCATCACTCTGGCATGGTTGTGAATCACACTCATTGATATGAAATTGGCAGTTAGATCCTGTATACCCAGGAGTACACTGACAAATGTAGTTGTTGATTCCATCAATACAGGTTCCACCATTCATGCAAGAACTATAAAATAAGAATAAAGCCACAAATTTAATTACATTTTAGTTTATAAGAAAATTTTTGTACTTATTCACAAAAATTAAATAATTTTATCAGTGTAAATAAAAATCTTGTTACATGTAATTATACAGCTCATAAAGTACATACATTTTAAGTTACATAAATATGCAATTGTAATTTATCATAAAACAATTTTATGTATACAATAAAAATTACAATTATATATACAAAAGCATATATTCTTTGATAAAAATTTTAATTTTGTAGAATTTACACTATTATGCTATTTATGGAATATACATGAAGTTTTCCTCCAATTCTGTCAGTAACCATCAAACAATAAAAAAAATAAATAAATAATAATTAGTAACACATTAGCTAGCATCCCATTTTAACAACAGAGTTCAAGAATAAAGATAAAGAATACACATAATGCAGGTATATGACATGAGCAAAGTGGATAAGATTATTACTATAGCAGAACTTAATAAAATATTAATGAATAGATCAAAAACTGTTATTGATTTTATAATATTATAAAAACAAAACAAAATATATCACTGCTCCAAGCATTTATGTGGTAAAAAGTATCTAGCTAAAGTTTTAAATTATATTATAGCATTATATATATTGTATTATTAGCATTATAAAATAGAATTACATAAAAAACACACAGTCAGCAGTGATAGGAATTAAACTTCAATAAACTTTCTTATTCAAATTCGTGCTTAAATGTTATTTGGAAATGCATCTAAATAAAGGTAATAATAATATCAATTTCAAATACTAGTTCTTAAAAATGCTGATAAGTATTGTTTTAACCAACCTCGAAGTACAATCTTCATCATTAGTTTGACAGTTAGTTCCACTAAATCCAAGAGGACAAGTGCAAGTATAGCTGTTAACATAGTCATTACAAGTAGCACCATTTAGACAAGGAGAACTAGCACATTCATTGATATCGGCTTCACAATGTTTTCCTCCAAATCCATCAACACACAAGCATGTGTATTCACCAATACCATCAAGACAAGTACCTCCATTTTGACAGGGAACTATAAAAATAAAAAATACCATAGAAATATTTAAATTTTGAATCATAAATAAGAAAGAATAACAAATATTTTAGATTTAACAAAAATAACTTTTATATGTAAAATATTTTATATGGAAATTAAAGTAGACTACTACACAAGAGTGAATTTCTATATTCTTCTTGTGTGTTTAAATTAAGTCTACATTTATCATATGAATATTTCACAGCATACTATAATATCATTATGTTGAAAAGAACGAGTAAAATTTGGGGATTATTTTATATTCTGGAAAAAAAAAAAAAAAAAACTCCATGAAATTTTATATGTTGCAATGAGATAGCATTTGCATTAATCTGTAAGCATTTTTTTTAACATTTGGTACCATTTTTAGTTCGCAGGCATGCCCATAAATTTGCTTTTATATAATAATTCTACAAACTGAATTAGAAATTTTAGCTCAAAACAGCTTAATTTTAAAGTACCATAATTTTAAGATTTATAAATATATATATAAAGTTTTGAAAGGTGATTTTCAGAAAATAAATGCAATTCTTTGGTATGTTTTAAAATATGAAGAAATATTTAATTATTGTGGATTTGTTCCCCCCCCCTAGTTAATGGTAGAAGATTTTGATTTCATGTTATAAATTTAAACTGCTATTCTCAGAAATAATAAAAAATACATGCTTGGATATGGATTTCAAAATTAAGAAATATACTACAAGTTAATACATAGGTATATGTTACATAATTAAAAAACACAAGAAATGAATGTTAAAAAGAAACTTAAAATATAAAAACAAGAGGATTTCTTTAAACAGAATTACAGTTACATTTTTATCCAAGATAGAAGCATATATTGTAATGCTATTAAATATGTGATGCAGTTAGTAATAAAATGAGAATCAGGTAAACTTATACCACCAAAACTTACATGAAGCACAATCATCAGTATTGATCAAACAGTCTCTGCCTTCATATCCCTTTGCACAAACACAGGTATAAGATCCGTTAGTATTCACACAAGTTGCTCCATTGCGGCATGGTGATGAGATAGCACATTCATCAATGTCTTCATCACATAAATGACCTAATTAATGGATTCAGTTTTAATTACTTCAATCACACCATAAAACTACATATTTATGATTACAATTATTTTAAAACAATGCATAACAAAAATATCAAGAATTGATGCAAAAATCCTATTAAATTTTATTGTGTAATTGAATAAGCCCAGAGTACAATTTTTAATTTCAAATTTAGGTTACCATGTTTATTGAGTTTTGCAGTTATTACTCTTCTTCAAGTACATTTGTTAGTTTTCTTTAATGTTCTTATAATGTGTACCTTTATAATTATAATAACAATCCTGCAAATATACTAACTACAAATAGAAATAATTGACTAAATTTACCTGTATATCCTAGTTCACAAGAGCAGGCAAAATCTAAATAATTAGAAGATGGTGTGCACTTTGCATGGTTTTTGCATTTATTTGGAGAACAAGGGTCAAGTTCTGTATCGCATCTTACTCCAGTAAAGGGAACTTCACATACACATTGGTAAGCATCAACCAAGTCAATGCATGAGCCACCATTTAAACATGGACTACTGTCACAGTCATCAATGTTTGTCTCACAATTTTGCCCACTGTAACCAGGCAGACATGAACATTCGTAGGAAGCCAGACGATCTTGGCAACTGCCGCCATGCTGACACGGATTTGATTGGCATTCATCAATTTCAACTTCGCAACGATGTCCTCCATAACCTAAATAAACATACAGATCAAATAATTTTCATTTTTATGCAAGATTATAAATAAATAATTAATTTTTTAACTTTGAAGATTTTGTTTTCAATGCATATATAATAACAGAGTAGCCACAAAAATTGAACATTCAATTTCCCAGACTTTTTCAGGCTCAAATGGAAACATTTCCATGACAAACATAATGAACTAGTTATTGAATTAAGTATGAGCAATTCAATATTCTGAATTTAAATACATTCCTAGTTCCATTTTAGATGAATAAAGTTTTGATTTAATAATTCAGAAATAAAACAGAATGAGATTGTTCAAGGTTTTTAATTATACAAAATTATTCGTAAATACTTAAAAGTAAGTAAATTAATCCGCTCCCCTTTTAAAAGGAAAAAATCTTGCTCAGCAAAGTTGAACAAATGTAGGTTTTACAAAACTCTGCTGTAGCAGAACATATTTCTCAAAAAATTCCTCCATTACTTAAAAAAAAAAAAAAAAAAAAAAAAAAAAAACCCTCAATCTAATCTGTTTAAAACCTTCAATTTCTTATCATTTTTAGTGCAAAAAGTTCAACTTTTTAATTAACATAATGTTCCAGGTTTGAATAATTGAAAAATAAAACTCACCATCAAGGCAATGGCAGATAAATTTGTTAACCTCATCTTCACATGTGCCTCCATTTATGCATGGATTGCTTGCACATTCATTTACATCAGACAGGCAACGTGCATCAAAATAACCTCTTGGACATTCACATTTGAAACCATTCACCATATCAGTACAAATTCCACCATTTGCACATGGATTACTAGCACATTCATTGATGTTGGTCTCACAATGCAAACCTAAAATATTTTCAAGATAATATAAATAAAAATAATATTTTTGCATAAATATTCACTTTTAGAAACTGATATGATTTTCTTTATTTGAAAAACAAAAAAAAATTAAATCAGTTTAATTTTTAATTTATGTCAAAATACTTTTGTTTAAGTGACTATATTTAATTTATGACTTTACAGGAATTTCAAAACACATTTGTTATCGAAGTACGAAACTTCAATCAATAATTTCTGCTAAGTGCACTAACACATCATAAAAAATCAATAAAATTCTACAGTGCAAAATAATGTAAACCTATAAATCTGTTTAAAAAGAATTTGACCTCAATATCTCAGAAGAATGTTTTTTAACGTGCAAGTTTAATCTGAATAAATTAAATTATAAAAAGTTAATTTAAATCCCACTGTAGCAATTGATCAGTGTTTTAACTGCAATACATTTCTGTACCTTGAAATGATGGTAAAGGTCAGCCTTAATTTGATGAAATAAACAGTTATTAACCTCTCTGTCACCAATGAATTTATTTTTAATAGAGATTTTAAATATTGGCCAAGAAATTTACATATATACAAAAATATAAATACTCATACAAATCTTATGATTTATCTAGAACTCATCAAATTATCAATAAAATCATGAACAAAAATAATTTAACCAAAAAAAATCAGATTTGAATAGCAAATCTGAATTTAATATTGTAAAGTATATTTACCAGTAAATCCAGGTACACACTGACAGGTGTAAGCATTGATACCATCAACACAAACAGCCCCATTACGACAAGGATTACTGGAACATTCGTTTATATTATACTCGCAATTAGGTCCAGAAGTACCAGCTCGACATCTGCACTGATATCCATTGACAAGGTCTTCACATGATCCACCATGCTGACAAGGATTGCTAAGACATTCATTGATTTGGTATTGGCACAGTGATCCTTTATAACCTGGATCACACACACATGTGAAAGAATTTGTACCATCGATACACTGTCCATGTTGACAAGGTGAAGACTGACAATCATTGATGTTTGTTTCACAGTTAGTACCAGTAAAACCTGAAAAAAAAAAAAAAGAAAAAGAAAAGAAATGATTTTAGTATTATTACAGTCCACTTAATACAAATTAAGAATAGCAGATGAAAACTGAATAATTAAAACAATTTGAGCTTACTGTCAGACTAGTTAGACAGCTCTCAAACTATTTAATTATAATGAGAACTAACAACAATGAAATTTTAATTCCCAGATTATTGTAGACTGCTGTTTATGAATTTTGCTTTAGTAGAAATTTTGAGATATCTGCAAGTATTATGTATTTTTATATATTATAACAAAAGCAGTTGTGAAATTCAAAAAATATTAAGAACTCATTTGTCGCCTAAGAAGCTATAAAATTAGCTATTAAGTGGTGATAAATTATCTAAAAAAATATTGAAATTGCTTTAATAAACTAAAAACATTTGAGCAGTTCAGCCAAAGTGGTGAGAACTGGCTGAATCTCATCAATGATAATAAAACTCTGAAACACAAATGGCCTACTTTAGTCATCAAGGGGAAACTTTGTATTGCAATAGTTGAGAAATATTCATAGTAATTAAGATAAATAGAAATATTAATCTGATAAATGAAGATAATCATTGTTAATAATAATATGGTTTTAAAGTTCATAATCCATCAAAATATAATCAGCACATTTTATGCAAAGCTCCATTTATATTTTATAAAATTCGAGCAATTTTAATTGCATTCTAACTGTAAATAATATTACAAAACTTAATTTTAAAGAGTCATATATATACAGGTTTAAATCTGTATACTGAAAATAAAAAGCTTAAATAATTGCATTAAGTTAAATCTGGTTTACATATATAAAGAACACACATTACAAGAGAAAGTTAATTTTCGTTAACTGAAGATATATTAACCTTATTGTAATAAAGTAAATTTAATGTTCAAAACATGATATCAGATCATAACATACCAGGATTACACTGGCATGTAAAACTAGCAATTCCATCAGTACAATTTCCACCATTCTGGCAAGGATGTGACATGCAATCATCTTCATTTACTTCACATTTCTTTCCAGAAAACCCAATAGGACAAAGGCATTTAAAAGCATTGATTCTGTCACTACATATTCCATTATTGAGACAAGGGTTAGGAGAACATTCATCAATATCTTCTTCGCAGTTAGCACCACTGTAACCTTAAGTGAAAGAAAAACAGTAAGAATAATGTTTTACATAATTTTCTAAAGTAATCAGCATTTAATTTATAATCAAGTAAAAATAGCAACAAAAGGTATATTACAAAAGACAGTTAAGAAAAGTTACTTTACGTATACAGTTGCCGACAACATAAGTTCAAGAAAGGATAAAATTGGTATCCCAGAAGGTAAAGGTAGATTTTATACATAAATTAATTATATCTGAAAAGATGTTTAGTTACCTCTTATAGTATATATAGCAACAGAAAGAATTTTAGTGTTAATTATAATTTACAGATTTTGAAGTTTTAACCATTGCACATAATAATTGATTTTGTAGAGTTTTGCAAAAGAAATTTTGCCAGTGGTAATGTCAACATAGTATTAAATTTGTATCCAAATTTTATTTATAAATTGGGTATAAATAATCATAAAAAGAAAATTGTGGTAAAAAACAAATACTGCTAACTATTAAGAGGTAGTGATGAATTCTTCATTCTTAAAGTATTTCATTGTATCTATTTATCTATCACAATATAAATTTTGTTTCTATGTTATTAAAAAAACTCTTCATAATTAAAAACAAATGTTAAACAGAGGTGTATGAACAGCATATATAAGGTAGTGTAATTCTGTTTGGTTCGAATATTAAAAACCTGTCAGAAATGCTTGAAATAAGTATCCAATAGCAATGAATAAAGATCTTTATTTCATGGCTAATACAATCATAAAAACTGCAATTACAATTTTAAAATTAAAAATATACTAAGAGTAAAATTTGTCATTCATTAGATGACTTTTAGTACTTCTCAGAAACACCCTAGCATTAAAAAAAAAAAAAAAAAAAAAAAAAAAAAAAAGAGATTCTTCTGTTATCGGGCCGGATTCAGAAATGTATGTATGCATGTGTTCATGTATGTATGTATATAAGTACATGCGTGAGTGTGAGTATATAAGTACACATGCATACATACATGCATTTCTGAATCCGGTCCCGTTTACAAAAGAGTACCAAAAAATGTGCACCCTGTCTTTTATTTTGTTACATATTTATCACTTGCGTGCGTCTAGCATTATTCTGAGCGATGAAATGGACGAATAACTGCTAGTTTTAAAAAATAAAAGCAGTAGCCGAAAATCTAGGGTGGTTCCAAGCTTGATATGACCCGAAGTTGAACCCCCACTACCAGTTCCTTTGAAAGGCAAGACCGCACTTTCAAGGTTACCACACAGAAAAATGAAGGTGCGGGACTCACCACGTCGCCAAGAATGAAGCCAAACTATTTTTTGATACAAAGATTGAATTTTACTAGATACTACTAACCAAACAAACTTGGGCCATCTCCTCAGCGATTTGATTGACACGTATTTCGTTTATTACGGAATTAACGGTTAAAAGACTATTTTCAGAATTTTTTAGAACGGAACGTAGGCTTTGAAATTCCTTTTTAAGAATTATCTCCATCTTAGACAATCATATCTTTAAGATGGCAATAACAATTGATATAAAAAATAATAACCTATAAAATGATGTAATAATAACAATTTTTTCCGCGTCATATATTTCCGAAATATAGTTTAGGACTAAATTTCAAGTAATAGATCGTGCAGGTATAATTAACATTTCGCTTATTCTTGAAAAAATAACGGCATTTAAAGCACTTGTAACTTCACTGCACGAAAATAAACAGATTGCCATAACTCGTTTTCACAATAAAACTTTACATGAAAAGAAAGGACATATATATATTTTTTTCTTTTTATAAATAAAGAAGTAATTAACTAATGGATACATAATAAAAGGAACAGTTATTTTATTGGAGTAACTTGTAAGAATTCATTTACGAATGATCAATATGAAGAATAAATTCCCCACAAAATTAACGATAGAGAAAATAATCTTCCGCATTATTTATTTTTCGGATTCTTGAAAGGATAAAAGATGAATGCTAGAAAAACTAAGGTATTAATTGTACTATTAATGGTATTTTTATTTTTATTTGGCCCATTCCCTTGAAAAGACTGGTTTAATTTAATTTATTTAATTATGGCAACACATGGGGAAAACCACGAAAACGCCCATGCAGCCAGCCCGTTTGCAGGATTCGAACCTCGGACCGAACTACCAGTGTTCAGCGACTTTATCGCTCGGCCGCTGGTGGGCCTCTTTTTTAAATAGAAGTCAATAATATATTATTTTGTTTATTTTATTTTAAAAAGCCGTCTTAGAGAAAATGAAGCACAAAAAAAAAGCAAACCAAAAAAAAAATAATAATAATAATAATAATAATCCCCACAAGCAAACAAAACTACCTCCTTACAACACGTTTCTTTTACACATCGTAACATGCGAAACGCAGTTTGGACATACAATTAGATACTAGAACTAAAAATAGTTATTAAAAAGACAATTTTAGAAGTTTGAATTACGAAATACGTAGTTATGCAAAGGAAGTCAATTTTCGAACTAAAAACGGAAGCATCAAATCGAAAGAGGCGATATTTTTAACTAGAAAAGTGAACCCTCGCCAAAAATGGCTCCTTGTGACGAATCCGTTTGTTTAACGTGGAAGCCCTCAAAGAATAACTTTCTCAGCAGGGAGGAGAACCCGGGGGTTGTAAAAATATGGGGGTTTTCAAGACAGGTTTCGCAGCAAGACCTTTGGCCCGCAGCAGACAGGTATCACAGCCATCTGTTGTTTTGCAGCCTAGCTCTGTTTCTAAACTGGAATGTTTGTCTTTTAACAGATTTTACCAATCATGAAGACTAAATTTAGAAATACTGTTTCAGTTAAAAAATTTTTAAATTTAAAGAACTAATAAATACTTGAAGTATCTACAATAACAGAATACTTTTCCTGGTTATTAGTAAATTTCTTTAAATTATCTGAAATCAAAGAATTATTATAACTAAATATTTAATTTCAAAAATTCCCCCAATTTTTTAATTCTGAATTTATGACTTGTAATTAATGAATAATAAAATCAAAAAAAGATAATAAGATTCAAGATGACTGAAAGGCACTGTTAAGAAATTTTGCAATCTATCTGAGACAACAAAATTTTATGTGACATACTACTTAAAGTTACTTTGACTTTTTAAGGATTTACGAAAATATTTTACTCTGAAATCATTATTATTTTGTTTACTAGTATCATCAGTTTATCAATAATTTTCATTGCTCAACTAGCAAATTTTCCCAATTAACGCAAATATATAAGAAAGGAGAAACATTACCAAAGAAATCTTTGTTAAACCCAATAGAACGTTTTAAATGCTAATGAATACTTTTGAAACAATAAAATTCTAACAACTTTTGGTTTTCTGACATTTTTAAAGGCATTAGGCAACTTTCTAGTTTCCATAATACAGATGCATAGATAATTTTAAAAAAAAATATGAAAATAGCTAACAGTCTAGAAAATTGCAAATAATATTACTAAATTTCTAGAATTATACTCAATATCTAGAAGTGAATATTTTAATTACTACAGAGTTTGGCAGATAATAAATTCAAATGCTTAGAAATTCATAACATAGTTTATTGCACAAAAAAGTAATAAAGAAATAAGAGTTCTTCACCCCCCCCCAAAAGAGAAAAGTCACTTTTTTTTAAACTAATATTAAAAACAATAATAAAATACAAACAATAAGAAGCTATTAAAAACAATAAAAAATCTCAAATTCCTACAGTAGTATACGAAAACAATATACAACTAAGGCATTTCCTCTGCAAAATCTGACTTGTTCACTTTTTGCTTAAAATTTAAATAACTCTACAATATAGCAAATATATTTTAAAAAGTCATAAAATGGCAGCTGAAGCTATGATGACAAATATCTCCAATAGCATGAAACTTCTATTCAAAATACTGACAATCCTTAAAAATGTTTCATGTTGTAAAAACAATTCATAAAATTTCATAAATAAAAACATATGCAATAAAGTAAAAGTTAACTGCTTTTATAAATAAATAATAGAAATTAAGACAGAAAATAGAAATTAAGTTTTATGCTTCATTATTATTGCTGAATGCATGCTGTAGCTCTTAAGGTTAAATTAAATAAATATTTTACAATTGAACTAAAATTAATAATTTATTTAACAGCACATTAAGATTTCATCAATCGTTAGCCTCCACAAAGGCAATCAAAGATCATTTGTCATAGCTTTTTAATCACCAGATACCAGAAGTTTTTAATTATATTTTGAAATAAAGTTTTTCTGAAAAATTGTAGAAAAATATTACCAGGCATGCAAACGCATCGAAATCCACCTCTTTCATCTAAGCATGTTCCCTCATTTTTGCAAGGATTGGAGTCGCATTCATTGATATTAATTTCACATCGTGGCCCTGTAAATCCTTTGGTACAGTTGCAATGGAATGAACCTGGTGTATTCACACAAATTCCTCCATGTTCACAAGGGGATCCTATCAAAACATATACTTGAGATTCAATCTAAGATAAACAACAGCTCTTTTATAATAACTACAATTTCTGCAGTTGCTTATAATAATCATTTATTAATTATAGTATTATAAACTAGTTAAAAGACACCTAAAGATTGGTTTCATAAGTCACGAAAATGCTAGTATTGTGCAAAAGCAAAAATGTTAAACATCCTGCACATGTCAATACATTGTAATATATCCCCAATGATGATTTCAATGCTTCATTAAAAGAGAATAATTCAAAAGAGAAGAATTCTAACAGATCCACTTGCACTTGCATTAGGCTAATTACACATTAGTACCAAAAAGCCAAAAGTTTTGCATTAGCTACTACTTGCACCAGAAAAGTAAATAAAGTTTTGCTTACTTTACAATGCAAAATTTGTACTCCTAGTTTTACTTCTAGTGCAGTTTCCAACAAAAAGTGCAATCATAGCATTGGTATCCATAATTTTCAAATTAATTCAGAATTTCAAATTAAATTTCCCTTTTCAGATTACAATATTCTTAATCATTAATGCTTACCTTCATCACATTCATCAACATCTTGGGTACAATCAACTCCTTTGAATCCCTGAGGACAGGAACAAATGTAAGTGCCATCAATTGGACTAGTATCACAGATAGCACCAACGTGACAAGGGTTGCTAGCACAAGCATCCTCTAAATGACATAATAGTCCTGCAAAAGTACAATTTAAATGCACTTTTTATAAATTTTTCCTTTCTAAACATAATTTTCAATCATTTATAGAGATACAAAAATATTTTCTCAGTAATTTTAATGAATAATGTATGTACCTGTTTTTCCAGGAGCGCATTGACAATAAAAGGAACCAACACGATCATGACATGTTGCTCCATTGAAACAAGCAGCACCAGCACAGTCATCTATGTTTTCACTGCAGTCTGGTCCAGACCAACCATTCACACAAATGCAGGAGTAACTTCCAATAGTGTTGATACATGTAGCACCATTTTTACACACACTTGGACGAACAGCACATTCATCTACATCTTTACTACAGTAAGAACCTAAAATCATGAGAACAGTCTCTATTTGGGATCTTGTCTCTCTAATACAGTAATTATTTTTTAAATTTAATAAAGCAGATTTCCCAAAGAACGGGTAAAAAAATTACAAAATATTAAAATTTTTATTTAAAGAAATTTATTTTGTTTAAAAAATGTATATAACTTTATGTATTATGTAATAAAAACATGAAATATTTTATCCAAGATTTTATTTCTTGTAAATACTCATGAATACAGAAAAAAAGAGTAAATAAAAAATAAAACTAGAAATAGGGGGTAAAGCTAGAATTTTACAAATAATGAAAAATTACTCCCAACTATTTCTAGCACAGTCTCACAAAAAGAAATTAAATGCATGTCTTCAACACAATCATAAAAAATAACAAATAAATTATGATAAATTTCAACTTGTTTTCACCCTATTCAGCTTTTTACTTGTGTCAGTTATTCTTTAGTTTTGGGTGGCAGACATTATACTTTTTTATACTTTTTAAACAAGTGAATACAAAAACAATGCAAAGATGATTTTTAATACCAAAATTCAAGAACATACCAGTATATGTTGGAGGGCACTGACAAGTGTAAGTATTAATACCATCAATGCAAAGTGCACCATTCTGACAGTTGTGCCCTGGACAATCATCAATGTTGACTTCGCAGTTCGTACCAGTGAATCCTATAAAGAAAACATTTGTAAATTTACTAAAAGAAGAAATCGAATCTTGAATTTCTCCAGTTTCAAAAACCTGGTAGATTTTCTAGAAGTTCTTTAGCACATACTAACTTAAAAATGAAAGCAACAGAAATGTATGAGAAAATATCTTATTCAATGACAATCAGATCCAAAATTTTTTATAATATAATCATAACTCGCACTCATTTATCCACGTTACACATTTGAGGATACAGTTTGCTAATTTTGAAGATAAAGCGCGGTACTTTAACAAGAAAGTAATATATATAAACATATATATATATGCGGGCATACACTTTTTTAAACGTACTTACGTATTATCCCATCGATAGTAAAATTTGGGTATCACCCAACCATGACGCCAATTGTTGCGTCAATTGTTCCTGCGGAATTCTGAAATAACTGACGTATCATTATTTAATAAACAATCAGTATTTTATCTGCTTCGTTTTTGCGCTTTGTAAAAGGCTTTCGGCGATTTCTACTATTTTGTTAGGCCCTGCAGAGGCTTTGGTTAGAGCATTATGAATACATATTTCCCACAGGTAATTGTTCCCGTCTATTACTATTCAGTTGACCATATCATGTCCATATTATGAACACGTTTTTGATGGTAGAATCTCATAACATTAAAAATAATCCACTGCTTGCTGTTCTGCTGAACTCACCCAGAAAATTTTAATTCCCCCCCCAAAATGCAAGAAAAAATGTAGCGATAACAATTAATTTATATCCCTTGTTCACAAAACAAAAGGTGGCTCATTCAGAATCAGTCGGAGTTACAACAGCAGGTGTTATGATGTGACGCTAATCCATAACTTGTGTGATATCATGCTGCTTGGCGACAGTTTCATGGTCGACGGGATAATACTTAAATGCCAAAAAGCCTACACCTAGATTATTATTTTCATTATATTTTCAACTTAAGCTGCACAAATTGTATCATCTGATTATACAGAGGCTCTATTTTTATTTACTTCACATATCTTAATTAAAAAAAAAATTGCAATTCTATTTCTTTTTTAATTGCTGTTCGGGAACATGAAAAAGCAGCTGATTTTGCGAATCTCTTCTTTCTATTCATCCCTTCAATTCCTCGTTTGGCCTTTAAATAGTTGCAGTAGTTTTTGAACGATATAAATTTCTCTCAAAAATAACATTGTTCCATTAATATAAGTAAACGCTCACAGTTACTTGCGTAGCTGTACACTGCAATACAAACCATAAAAATAAAAATAGGATAGAAGCTTAATAACACCTTTATACATAATTACTCAAAGGAAAAAATAATTCGAAATTATTGCAAATGGAGTAAAACAAATTTTAAAAAAATCGAACGAAAAAATTACGAAAATGATAATTTTACGCTTACCTTCTGGACATGAACATTTGTAGCTTAAGGAATTCAGAGCTGTACATGTGCCACCATTTTCACACGGACTAGGTTCACATGGAATGTACTGAGATTCGCAGTTTTGGCCAGTGTAACCACTTTCGCAAGTACATCTGTAAATAGAACAACGAATATGTAAAATATTTATAGACAGACGACTGATATATTCTTAAATTAAAATGTATTTTAGATAGAATTTTTATGCCAAGTTTATATCCCAGCTAAAATTAAATCTTTGAATTATACCTCCAATTTTGAAGCCATACTATTAGAATTTTTAAGCAAACATTGTAGACTCTTAGATTTTTCGAAGCAAGAAACATGAAAAATGTGCAGTACACTCGCCGGGATTCGAATTCCAGACCTTTCAGTGCTAGCCGGACGTGCTTTTCAATTATATCAACGAAGGCCAGCGGCAAAGAGGGAGAAAATACCTTGCATTCTTGCTTACTTAAAGAGCGACTGGAGAAGCGGAGACCAATCGCCAAATCTTGAAGATGATGAATTATATCCACTATATTTCAGTTCGGCGCCACTATAGAATCACTGAGTCTGTCGAAGCAGAAAACGTGAAAAATATGCAACATCCTCACCGGAATTCGAACTCCGGATCTTCTGATGGTAGTCGAACGTTCTTTCCAATTATACCAAGAAAACACGCGTTAAGGACGGAGAAAATATAATGTAACTATATGATACATAACTATATTATTTACGTACTTCTGACATCTTTAGTCATTGGATTTTTGGCCAGCTGAATAGCATCTAAGACTAAAAGTCTTTTGAGGAACAGCAAAAATTTTTGGATTTACAAAATTGTAGCTTTTTTACAAAAAAACGCATCACTGAAAGTATTACTATAGCATATAAAGAATGTCAGCTTCGATATCCGATGTTCCACAGGAAGAACTTCTGAAAGCCCACAAATAAGACAAAGGAATTTAAAACTTTGCAAGCAAGTAGCTCTAATTAATGGACAATTTTCATCCCATGCCACTAAAATGAGAATTTGAAATTAAGAACCTCAAAGCCGCAGATCTAAGAATTTGAAACTTTGCAAATGAATCATGATCCAGATGGATATTAAAGGCTCTGCTATAAAGTAATAATTTTTATGAACTTTGACACATCGCATCATTTTCTAAAAATTATTCCCATGAAATTCAAATTACAGTTTTTTAAATGAATCTTTCTGATTTTTAGGGTCAAACACTGTTTGCTTGACAAATATATATATATATATATAATTATCAAGCAAAGCTAATAACAATTTTAAAAAACCAATTTTGGTCTAGAAAAACATCTTGCGCAATTGCCTGCAAAATAGTAAAATATAAAATTGTAGTAAGCTCGCCTAAAAGTTACCAAAGGCTGCTGCTCAAAGGTTTAAACACGTTTTCAAAAATTAATACACATGAAAATCAAATCATTAGACATGTAAAAACATTATAAAATTAAAAACAGAAAAAGTTAAAAAAAATAAGCGGAAAATCGTAAATTAGCCCAATTCGACTTCCAAACAGGCTTTCAAGGGAAATTTCATTATTTGAACGTCGAATCAAGCTAACCCCATTACGCGTTTCGCCGAAACAGACATTTAAACTTTTTCGCTAAATTTTTTTTAATTTAGACAAAGTGTCTTGGAAATTTAATAGTCTCATTCTCTGTTCCAATTTCCCGACGCGTCCGCTCAGAATGACACATTAAGGTGTTACTTTTAGGCGAGCTTACTACAATTTATATATATATATAGGTAAAGATTATTCTAGCTGAAATTGAATTATGAACAAAAGAATAAAGACAAAAAATAGGTTTACCTGTAAGATCCAACTGTATTTGTGCACCTGCCATGGATGCAAGGTTCTTTACTGCATTCATCGATGTCATTCGTGCACGTATGGCCTGTAAAACCTTCCGTACATGTACACTTATAACTATCGAGACGGGACTGACATGTTGCACCATTGCGACAAGGCCGTGGTGCACAATGGTCGACTTCTTCGCAATGATGACCTAAGCAATTAAAAAACAAAACACATATTCAGTTACTGACTTCACGTTATATTCAGTTACATTCACGAATTATATATTTTCCAGCATAATTATGGTCTACTAAGGACTACTTTAAAGAAACAGTTGGCACTACACTGAGATTCATGTTGATATGTAAATAATTATGCGTAATTTCCACACACTTTTTTGTGGGGGGAGGGGGAAGAAGAGAAGCTAGATTACGAGAAAATATAATTTTTACTGCAGTTGATCAAAATTTCGCTTTCGAAAAATAAAGTGCTAAAAACTAGAAATACTTCAGCTTCGAGTTCTTTGCGTAGAATCTAAAAATGTGATTTTAATTCTTATACCAAATACCTTCAAATCAATAAATTAACACCCACACGACTTACAGCTTTTCTCAACGGGGACGTTGAAGGTAAAATTAAAGGTTCTTGCTTAAAATATTGCTTATAATTTTGAAACAAAGACCTTCAAATCAATTTCTGATCAAAACATCTGATAACGCTATCCCATAATCTCAGTTTTCCTCCCATCTAACTTTTAAAATTAATAAATGTCTCTTTCAACTCCTCTCCTTGGAAATGCCCTACTATTGTAACTAAAACTACATACAGGGCTAAAGCATAATTTGTGAGAACAGTGAAGAGAAGAAACGAAAACTAGTAAAAATTGAATTAAGTTACCTCTAAATCCAACTGTACAGGAACACGTGTAATTGTTCAAAGTGACTAGATTACAAGTGCCACCGTTTTGGCAAGGATTGCTGTCGCAGCTGTTTGGGACAGCAATCTCGCAAAGTGAAGCAGAATACCCAACGGGACATGAGCAAGAGAAAGTTGGTCCATTCTTCGCCGACAGGCCTACATTGCAAGTGCCTCCGTTCTGGCACCTTGGTCCTGGACCTGTGTGACATGGATTCATGTGCTGGCAGTACTGGCCGACATATAATGGAGGACAACTAAAACGATTAAAAATAGAAGCATTAGTAGGTAGTATTCAAATTTCAATTTTTGTATCAACCATTTTAAATAAAACTACAACTGATAATAGTTTTTCAAAAAGCTTCTACCATAAAATTCTACCATTCTACCATTTTGCTTTATTACTATCAATAAAACAAACGGTAAGAATTGGCCATTAATCAACGCTGTTATTAACAGTTTTATGGGAAAATAATGGTCCCATGTTTAATAATTTCTTTTAAGGCAGTTCTCTGAAAATAATTACAAAATTTTTCAATGTAAAACCTGTAGAAGTTCAAAGGCTATAAAAATTACGAATTATTTAATGATGGCAATCCGAAAGCATACAAATCGTAACAATGAAATATCAGAATCGCATTCTCTGGGATGCATTTTCATATACTGATTACTTAAAAAAACACGAATTTCCACCTGGAGAATTATTAGCTATTCATCACAAATGATATTTACGAAAACAGTAAACGAATGTTTTAATTAATGTTTTGAATTTCCCAGTAACGAAAAATATTTCCAAAATGGTATTCATTTGCGTAACGCTCGATGATCATGAGCTGTTTTCGAATTGATAAAATCTTATTTATAGTTGCTGAAAGGAAAAATGAATAAGATGTTTGCTTAGATTAGGGACTACGAATGACTATAATGGCAGATAATTATCAATGGAGTTCAGTGATCTTTATGATTACAAGTAGCTGAGATATTAGAATGTGATTACGAAGAAACAAGCAGTATAATCAATCATGTTTGCGAATTGCTATTTGAAGACATTCTTTGACCTGACTGGGAAGAATATAATTAGTGTAATATATACATCCCCTATATTGAAAGATTCTTCAAACTGTAAAAAGCCTCTTCCATATTTTTTGCAGATAAATGTGGATACTTGTGAACTATTTTAAATAATTTTAAAGTTAGAAGAATTTTATCGGCTGATTATAAGAATGTTTATGGTTTTGTTTGATTTCAGGACACTTGTAGCAGTACAGATCCTAGACAGCCGGCCGCCCACGTGCAAATTAAAACTGGCCACCCTTTTTTACAGAAATATAATACGTTTGATAATCATTTCGCCGCCCACGTGATGTGCACTATTTTGCCCCTCGTTAAGATCGGCCTTGACTTGCAGGTATTTTTAACTAAAAAGTAGCAAATTCAAAATTTCGAAAATCAAATGGCATTTGCATCGAGTAATTTCTATGCCATCTGCCATAAATCATGAAACTGAAGTATATTTTATATATATTTTTTATATTAATTTTAAAATATTTCCTAAAAGTGATAGAAACATCACCTGTCAGAGATTCTGGATTTGAATGAAGCTCTGGTTCATCATTTGAAATTCATTCAAATCATGTGGTATTGTCAATACCCATTCTAAACTCGCATAACAAGATTTCATAAAGCAAGAGTGGATCATGTACAATATAAGCCCCTTTCTGCTTCATCAATAACTGATTAAATATCCCCCCACACATGTCCAAAGTATATTATATACTGCACTTGAGCAGTTCATGCTACTCTTCCACAAGTGGCGCTGCGTCAACAGGTGTTGAGCTTTGACAATGCAGAAACAGTACAAGGAAAAAAAAAAAGACTGTCCCAATCTGGCAACGAAAAGTCACTGAGAATCTCAAATCCGCAACCACCAACAATAGTGTCAACGAAAGGTTCCGCATGAGAGCGCGGGAAACCGCTACGTGACGCTTTTGTTACGTGACCCACGTTGCATCTATTGCACTAATATTGCCCCCCTAACTACGATAGCTATATTCGGTGCTAGAATGATCCCGTTTTAGATGTTCTTCCATCTGGACGATTTGGCTCATTGTACCATATGGTACATAGGTCTTATATATAGATGCTGTGTTTAATGAACAGATTGCTACAGATTTATATTTATTCGACTGGCATGGCAAATTAATAAAAATTTTAACTTTGGAAAGTTATAACTTAATTGCAATTTAAAATAGCCTCCCATTTCAGTACCGCCTTACTTAAATGGTAAAATAACTTCAGTTAATGTTATGTTGTTCCCCCTCCACAAAATGAAATTTTTACTAAAAAATTTCTAAAATAATCATAAATTTCAACCCTATTTTTACTTACTAATTTTTCTATATGAATAAATCGTTCATGAAATTCGCGGACACAGATAAGTGAAAGAATCTCAGACCACAATGCATGCTGACATTTTGATTTAAGAGCTTGAACCTGAATACTGCAAATAAAATTTCACCCGATAAGTTCTTTCCAATATAACGTTTCAAATCTGACGGAATAATAAATGAGAAAAATAAATTACTGAAACAAGGAATAATATCACTTTTTAAAAAGTTCTTTTCTGGTTTATAGGTAATCGTCTGGGTTCTAAGGTCCTGGGATCGTTCACGCGAGGGCTTTACAATCATAAGTGGCATATGCCGAGCTTCGGTACTAGGCAACTAGATCTTGCTACGTCACACAAACTGGTATAAGGATTTTGCAATAATGTTCTAACTGTTCAACTTCATGCCAACCTGGTATAAGAACCGACGAATCACAGCGAAGCAAACACGAATTGATATTTGGTCTACGATTTCGCGCTGAATCAGTTGCACATTTACGCATGCGCAGCGTTAGCTTCTCTAATTAGCTACATCTTAAACACTATTCCACAGGTGTGAATGGACTTAATAGCGTGTACGCCTTAGGTCTATGATAAAGACGATTAGACCATCCTGCTGATGCTGTCTTACGGACTTCTGATTTTTTAGAAACAACCAATAATTTACATATACAAAAGAGTAGTAGAAGTAGATAGATGGTTCCGAAAGAGTGGTCATCTTAATATTTTCTAATTTTAAACTTTCAGTAAAAATTTAGTTCCACTAATAACTAAGCTCTCATTTAAACTTAAATCTTAAGATCTAACACCTAGAATTCTGAAAGGATATTTTTTTCTCGAGTAATATTGTAATTAAAATTAACAACTATTACTATTAAAATTATTTATTTTAATTTAACAACTAAATTAACAACTATTACTATTAAAAAATCTTCCACCATTCTTGTGAATTCTTTGCTATTACTTTTATTCCAATGATCGGACATCTACTCGACGAAAAATCCGCCCCCCGTCCCCGTTCTCGATAACAACTCGTTCGGAATGGTTAAAACCATCAGATTTCTAGCCATCTCATTCCTGGCATGCAACGCAGGGAATGAGACAGTAGCGTAGCTAGAGCTTTTGTCGCTTAGGGCGATCTGTGAAATTGTCGCCTTCTTGACACACAAGCATATACCTTTAAAAAATGCCAAAATGAAATACAGGGAATTAAATTAAAATTGCACGTTATTTTGAAGGAAAAAAAACTTTAATTCTAATATTTTAAAATCATGTTATTATTTCGTTTGTTTGTTTGTTTGTTTGTTATAGTTTAAAGTGGATTTCTCCAGTTGCTGTATTGTAGAAAATATCAAATCATTTCTTAATTGCAAGATAAAAATTTGTAATTCTTAAATGACTTCTGTGTAGAAAACGTTTCACACAAATATCAGCACTTACAGTAACTGTGACAAAAGTTTGCAATAGTATTACTATATTTAGAACTCCGTTTTGAGATCGTATTTTAAAATAAATTTCAAAAGTTTAAAAAGTCCGCCTTTCTTTCCGTAGCAATAATGGAAATGAAATTCTGAAATACTTCTCTCTTAAAAAGGATTTCTTCCTTATTAATGTCACCGTGATCATAATTTTTTATCGTGATTTTCATTCAGAAGTTTCGACAAAATAAAACAAAGGTATAACAAGAGTACGCGCGCAGCGGTTGAAATCTCGTGGAGGTTACTGTGAAAATTTTACTTAGAGTAAAAACTATTTTTCTTTTCAATTTTATTCTGCATGGCAATTTAGAATTTGATATTCTTCACCTGATGCCTCGATGATCTGCATGACTAATTCCTATAATCCGCATGTTTCATGCGGAAAATGTCGCCCCTAAAAATATACCGCCCAGGGCGGACAGCTCTCCGCCCCCCTAGCTACGTCACTGGAATGAGACCGATATTACACCCAAACGAAAACTAAAACTCTGCAAAAAAAAATTGACATGTGTAATTTTAAAAACATCATAGAATAATCATTCATTTCAATAGAAAATAATACAATTCTGGCATCTCATTTCAAAGATCTCATCTTTGATTAACTCAGCAAAACTGTACTTAAAAACCTAAATAGGAAACTAATCAAAAAACGAGCTCAGCGCAGAAACAAATGTTGGAAATTAAAAGATCACGATGGTCTTCACAGTTTGAGACAAAGTTGCTGAAGCGAAAAATGCAGTCACATAGTTCCACAGGGACAGAAGACCTTATGGCAAATCTTTATTTCAAAAACTAGGACCTTTTTTCTCTCCATTTAACAAAAACGTTAAAAATAGCCCATTTATTTCCTTCGACAGTCAAGTTTTTTACTAAAGAACAACCTTCAGACACTGCAAACGATTGCTGGCTGTGACAAGGTACTGATTTCTTTCCTGAGGATTTATGTTCTTACACAGTTATCAGCCTCTAACACATATTTTCTGTTGCGCAAAAGATTCAGAACTGGAGAGACCATTCAGATACTGTAAACGATTGCTGGCTGTGACAAGGTACTGATTTCTTTCCTGAGAGTTTATGTTCGTACACAGTTATCAGCCTATAAGACATATTTTCTGTTGCGCAAAAGCAACTTTCGCTGCACGCACGATTACGAGTAACAGAGATACCATCAACTACGGCAGAATCTCGATGACGAGGTACTTCTAGACGACTGTTAGCTCAGGTCATATGTTATGCACCTGAATCAGAGCCTCACTTACCGTTTACGCTATTGTCGCCTCTTCTCTTCAACACTACACAGGGCAGTGAATCTAAATTACTCCCTGTACTTCCCTTCTACCTCCTTCTTTTCTACCTCCTCCTTTACTTCTCAAATTCCAATTATCCTATTGTT